ACAAAAGGACAGAGTATTGAAAATTGTACTGGATACAAGTGTTCACTGCATAGTGTTTAGACAAACCCTAAACCTGTCCCTCTACTTCTCCCAGTATATCGTATTCTTGGTATGTAAAGCCAGCATACTGCTTGGTAGGAAGCCAGAGAATCTTGCTCCTGTCACATTGTGACTTAGTCTTCTTTGACACATGTTTCCCAGAGGAATCCTCCCTCTGACCTCCATGACCTCTGGAACCTTTCATCTACTCTCAACTTCTATGAGTTTAACAGTTTTGGATTCTAGATATGAGTGAGATCATGTACAGTGATAGAAACAGATCACAGAAAAGTGATTAGCCTGCCTGAGTACCACAGACAAACACATCAAGAAGAAATAAGGAAATGATCCCCATTCATAACATCCTCATGAAACATTCCTGAAATAAACCCCACCAGGGAAGTGAAAGGCCTCTAAAATTAATCCTTTGCAACACCACAATTCCCTCTCAATTTTCATGGGTTTTTCTTGTCCTCCTCCTCCTCTTCCTCCTCCTCTTTCTCACCCTTCTTCTCTTGGAGCTTCCAGTTGTGCTTGGATACATGGCCATCTCCTGGAGCCTAGGTAGCCCCTCTGAGGGGCCCCAACACTGAGCACAACTGAATCTCTCTCAGAAGCTATCAACTGCCACAGTTCCTCAGCTAGAAGAGAACTTTCCTCCATTTTCCAAGCTGGGATTTTGTCTGTCCTTCCTTGTCCATTCAGTCATAGCAACTCTTGGTTCATTAGTGCCACTGCCCTGTTGTGTCCGAGAACACTGCTTTGCTGTGCTCATCATCCACTGCCTCTGGGTCTTACAATTCTTCTGCTCCCTCTTCTGCAATGATCCTTTGGGCAGGAAGTCAGCCCTTTATTTTGTGCTCATGGATCAGTTGTGTGTCTCTGTTTATTGCTATTGACTATGAGAGGTTTCTGTGGTAAGGGGTAGTAATCCTACAGTAACTCTCTTGTAAACATGTAGTTGTCATGTGAATTCAGGTATTGTGACACCACAACACTGGTTTTATTCTTTTGTATCTTCATGGTTCCATAAGCCCTCTTTTTGTTTGTTTGTTCATGATTTTTTTTTGAGACAGGGTTAATCAGTGTAGCTTTGGTGCCTGTCCTGGATCTTGTTCTGTACACCAACCAGGCTGATCTCGAACTCATAGAGATCCACCTGGCTCTGCTTCTTGAGTGCTTGAATTAAAGGCTTGCACCACCACCTCCCGGTTCATATGTGTTTTAAAAGTGATACTTCTGGAAGACACATAACATAAATTTTGTATTATGGGGCTGGAGAGATGACTCAGAGGATAGAAACACTGGTTGTTTTTCAGAGGTCCTGAGTTCAAATCCCACCATCCACATGGTTGTTCACAAACATCTGTAATGTGATCTTTTGCCCTCTCCCAGCCTGCAGGGATACATGCAGGCAGAACACTGTATATGTAATAAACAAATTTATAAATAAATAAAAATGTAATTAAGAAATTTTGTATTGTGTAGAGGATTTAAAAGGAATGTCCTCCATTGTCTTGTGTGTTTGAATGCTTGGCCCATGGGGATCAGCACGATAGGAGGTACTGCCTTGTTGGAGTAGGTGTGGCCTTGTGGGAATTGTGTCACTGTGGAAGTGGACTTAGAGGTCTTATATGCTCAAGGTAAGCCTTATGTGGCAGTCTCCTTCTGCTGCCTGTGGATCAAGGTGTAGAATTCTCAGGTCCTTCTCCAGTACCATGTCTGCCGGCATCCTGCCATGTTTCCTATCATAAAGATGATGGTGGGAACCGAAGCTGTAAGTCAGCCTTAATTAACTGTTTTCCTTTATAAGATTGCTGTGGTCATGGTGTCTCTTCACAGCAATAGAAACCTTAACTAAGACAGATTGCATTGAACCTGAAGATCCCTAGGATATAGAGTCAGTTTCATAGCATCATTGTATTTAGTCAACATAGATCTTTTCCACTGAATCTTAGTAGGTAATGTTGTTGCTGCTGCTGTCTCATTTGGATGACAAGCCAGTTCCTTTCTTCAACTTTCACTTCCAATAACATATTTTTTGGTTCATTGCTACAGCCACCATCAGGGTTTTCATCCTAGGAAAGAAGTAAAGAGAAATACAGCTGATGTGGAGACATGTATCATCGAACCAACACTTCAGGAAAAGACAGGAAGAATGACTGGAAAAGTATAGACAGTTGAAGTACTGCATTTCTTCACTGTCTTTGAAAATAGCCTGATCCCCTCTACAATTATTCATATTGGAACTGAGTATTAGTCACTGAAATTAATAAGGAATTGATGGTTTACAAATACTTTATATAGAAATCCTTGTCCTGGCCAACAATGAATGGGAAGTATTTATAAACATATATATTATATATGATGCACTACTTAATAGCAGCACATGCTATATATAATAATGTACATATACGTGCACACAACTTTCTTTCTGATATACTCACAGTCCCTCCCTGCTTTCCCAGACCCCAATCTTTTAGCCTCATAGGCCTGGTTTCCTCCTCCCTGATGTGGGAAGACAAGAGTTTGCTTCTCATTCTCTCCTCATCAACCAGCTCTGCCATTCTACAACTGATATCTATTACATCTTGCTTTCTGGCTATTATATTTATGGAAACGCATAACCACCAGCTGAAATAGAATATGAAGCAATTCAAGTTTTGTGAGGGAGTTTCCTCTTTTTTTGTTTTGTTTTGTTTAAATCAGACTGTTCTTCGAAAGAACAAATTCTAACTATGGCCAAAAACAGAGAGAGGGGTAGGGGGAAGGGTAGTGTGGGGAGAGGAAGAGGCAGTGGGAGAGAGAAGGGGAGGGGGAGGGGGAGGGGGAAGAGGAGGGAGAGGGGCAGGGACAGAGGAAATAATCTGCCATTTTCAAACATTTAGAGAGGAAGAGAGCTCCCTACTGGCCATCACTGTCAAAGAAGAAACGATTTAACTCTGGTGTGTTTTCTTTAGAAATTATATTTCTCAGAAGAGTTTTCCCACAACTAAAACAGGCATTTTCCCCAGAAGAACTGACATCAGTTTGGAAGACTCAATTCCCTTCACTTCTCATCTGAGGGAGGGAGCCCCCTCCCAGGTCCACAAGGGTCATGCCTTCTGGACAGTGGTCTGCTCAACATGCACAAAACAGTCAGTAAGGCTTTTTCCCCTCTAGTCTTCTCTAGAGGAGGTTCTCTGGAGAAGGAGGAGTCTGTGTGTAGTCCCCTCAGTTGATAACTACAACCAAGCTCTGTGTCTGACCTCACATCATTTTGACCAGTAGGTAAAGCATTTGTAATGTGTCATGTAACTGAGCAAACCATGCCCCAGCTAGGAATGATGTAAAATAATGTCTGAACCCACAGAAAAGATTCTGCCCCTGCTGCTCTGCCTACTGAGACCAGCAACACTGGGCTTGGGAAATGCACTGACTTATGACTGTTGTTTGAAGGGTGACTTCAAAAGTTCAGGTTACCTCTCCACAATAGAACATGTCACAAGGGGAACCTGAATCCTTGTTACAGACAATATTACAGTCACTCTTAACTGGTACAGAATGAACTAGCCCTTATTCAAACTGGATTGAGGTCTGTGTTTTGCAGGGTCACAGATCAACAGCCCAGAGTATCTTGACCCAACAGCCTCTTTGCATTCTTCAGTACAGATGTAGTGAAGAAGACAATGTCCATCTGTAGGTTCAGCTGCCAGGGAAACCCTAGACTTCCATCCACTTCATAAATACATATATATGATACTTTGGGAATTTCACATCATGCACCCCAATCCTGCACCCCTCCAGCACTCTCATATCTATCACTCACCGCTTCAGCATTGACCACCGACAGAAATTAATTAAAAACAAAATGAAACAGACCTAAAAATCCACCTCAACCCGCTGCCTTTCCCACTTCCCCAACTCTTCTTCATTTGTCCTAATGACATCAGGAGATTCAGTATGTCACACAGTATACCTTTTTCTTCAGTCAGCCTCACCCTCAAATGTTCTTTGCAATGAGTCTTTTGTCGGGTTCAAGACTTCTGGCCTCTGGCCCACCATCTACACTGGACCCTACATAAAGAAACTCCCCTCATATACTGTTATTGCCCCAAGTCAGTCATAGAGATGCTGCGGTTATTGCTGTGTGATGTGCTGTATGTTAAAAGTGTTGCTCAGATTGGTTAATAATTAAAATACTGATTGGCCGGTAGCCAGACAGGAAATATAGGGGGAAGAAGGAGAGAGGAAAATTCTGGTAAGTGGAAGGCTGAGACAGAGAGACACTGCCAGCCGCCGCCATGACAAGTGAGATGTAAGGTAGCAGAAGGCCAAGAACCATGTGGCAACTCATAGACTAAGAGACATGGGTTAATTTAAGGTGGAAGAATTAGATAGCAAGAAGCCTGCCACGATAATACAGTTTGTAAGCAATATAAGTCTCTGTGTGTTTATTCAGTTGAGTCTAAATGGCTTTGGGACAGGCCAGTGAGAGAGATTTTTCCTGACCCATGCCAGGCAGAACTTGAAAAAACTCCAGCTACAAGTTAATGTTCTGTAGGACCAGTCATCAGGTCATAAATGGGATAGATGATAGGGGGGGGGCAACCCAAGGGCAAGGATGTGGGTCTAAGTGGTAGCTGAGCTCCTCATTTGGGCAGCTGGGACCAGCCTCCTCAGGTCGGGGTTAGAGACAGCTTTCCTACACCAATTCCATTGGGGACTCCTCTCCAGTGCCCACAGTGAGGGGTGTGGTACTATACATCCCAAGAGGAACTGAGGCAGCTCTCCTGTTGCAGTGTCCAGTGAGGGGAAGGTCTAGTCATTCCAGAGCCAGTGAAGAGCAGGGTGGGCTCAGCAAGGCTCTTGGATTTCAACATGTACAGTTCTTATGGACCTCTGTGGTGACAGTGGCCATGGACATCAACACACACACCAGTGCAGCAGGACTATGGACCCAGATATGGCCTTCAGCGGTAACTCAGGCCAATATGTCTCATCAACTCCTTCTTAAGAGTAACTGGTCAACTACAAAGTCCTTCCTTCTGTCTGGTCTAGCCACTCAACTTCATGGTCAGGAGAAATTTGTCATTGTCACTTTGTTTGTGGAACATGCCCACATGAAGGTTGCCATGTTGGAGTCATCAGGAGAATCACAGGAATAGATAAAGGATTATCCAATATATAGGGACACACACTGTGGAGTGCGTATAAGGGGAAAATTGATTGATACCAAGTTGATCTGCAGAGCTTGTAATTGTAGAAGACTTTGTCAGGGAGTATGATTATGGATAAACTAGAGTCTGTGTGTCATTGTGCAACATCTTTTAGACATGACTTTCTGCATTCTTTCCTTGGTCCTTATTTTGAAGATAATTTTAATCATCTTTATGTTTACATAATAGAATAAATTACTTTAAAGCAGTCCCATACTATCACCATGCCCAGAAAATATGTACAGCCATATCATTTTCTACATGTTAGATATAATAATCTGCTTTGGTTCAATAGAATTGGGGAATCAAGAGACAGGAATAAAGAAACTGACACAGGACCACGATGTGAGGAGAGCATCTTAGATAGTTTCTATTGCTGTGAAGAGAAACATGACCATGGCAACTCTTGAAAAGCAAAACATATGGGGAACCTTGACACTCTGACCTCTGGTCATGTGTTTACTGCTGAACACAAAAGCTTTTCAAATGAATCCACTGAAACCATAGCAGTGATCTTCAAGAATTTATGATGCTAAAAATGAAGCAAAACCACACTGTGTGTGAGTACTGATGTCATCAAGATATGGTGAGCAATCTCAGGAAATGGGTCACAAGAAGAGGGCTGAGGACACTGTACCACAGTGCAGCAGAAAGTTGTTGCTATTGCTTCCCCACTGGGATGACAACACTTCCTTCTTTTGATTTCATTTCAAGTGACACCACAATTTCAGTTCAATGCCACCAACAACGTCAGTATCTTCTCTCTAGGAAAGTGGGGGGAGGGAAAGTAACAAAATATTCAATGCAAAGAAAATTCAAGAGACAAATGACATCCACCATGGAGACTCCATCACCATAGAAAAATTAAATGAATAATTATACACATTGGCAGTACTGAACCTCTACTATGTGGTTGAATCCCTCAAGGCTCTTCTGCTCAATTTTGAAATGGACAAAGACAGAGTGTGTGCAGTATCCACTACTAAAGTAAAACTGAATAAATATCTGTAAGTCCAAACTTCTGGGTAACTAACAGGCAATCAGAGGCACTGCTATCACTGTGTCTTTTGGTCTGTATTTCCACCTCCCAACTTCAGGCACAGCAAGCACTCAGTGAAAAATATTGATCAGAAAAGTTGTATTGGGAAAAAAAACTCAAACACTTATATCTTACAAGGACAAACTGGGATATTTACATTTTACTACAGACCTTAGAGTCTTCTGATGTTGACATCTGGGGATTCTTGAGATTCTGACCTCTGGCCATGTGCACACTGCTCAACAAAAAAAGCCTTTCTGATGAATCCACTGAAATGAGAGCAGCAACCTTGTTGGATTTAGGGAGCTAAAAAGCAAACAAACACCACAAGTTGTGTGAGTGCTGATGTCATGAAGATATGGTGAACACTCCCAGGGAGTGGGGTACAAGAAGACAGCTAAGGAGACTGTAGAGATGGCTGACAGGTCAAGAGCACTTACTGATCTTCCAGAGGTCCTGAGTTCATTTTCCAGAAACAACGTGGTGGCTAACAACCATCTGTAATGAGATCTGGTGCCCACTTCTGGCCTACAGTCACATATGATATATACATAATAAATGAATAAATGAATAAATAAATAAATAAATAATTTAAAAGAAGAAGAGGAAAAGGAGGAGGAGGAGAAGAAGAGGAAGAAGAAGAAGACAGCTGAGGACACTGTGCCACTGTGGGGCAGAGAGTGTGAGTCGACTCAAACTCTACAGAAGTCACAGAGCAAGTATAGAAAAGGCAGCAATCAGGTATCACAATCTTTGAATCAGACACAGCTAGAAAAATATACATGCTGTTTTGGGTAATTGGCTTTGGTAGAAAGATCCTGCAAAAGGGAATGATGAGCAGAAAGGGAGATGTATCCATGGATACTGACTTTGAAGGCACTATGAAGCACAAACCCAGGCAGACAAAATAGGTCCATGACAGAGAGAAATTTCAGAGACACACTGTTAACAGTAGAAGTCACAATGGCTATACCACAGAGAAGACCCGAATGGTCTACATTCAGATGAATGGTCTCCTGGAACACTAAACAGCATCCCTTTCCATCTTAAGGTGAGGGGACACCAAAAGTGGCAAAATAACCCCAAAACTTTTCCTTAGAGCAAAGCATAGATGATACATTTTTATGAGTTTATGTGAACCTATGTGTGTGTGCAGCAAAAATGTGGAGTGAGAGAACAACTTCCATGAATAAGATTTCTGGTCCCACCATGAGTTATAGGGATGAACATGAATATCTCAGTCTTGATCTGGAAGCTCTTGTTGATTGTGCCATAATAACCACCAAATGATCATTCAATAAATATCTAATATAAAATACAAACCAAATTTGATCCTTCATATACTTAGAGAACTCAAGTGTATTAAGATAACTAGAATAAAATATCTCAAACTCACAACCCTAACCAACATAGACAAGAATATCACATGTGCCATTGTTTCAAATAACACCTATAGACTCACAAATATTAGCTGAAACAAAATTGACATTACAATTCAAGTAGCTATATTAAGAAATATATGAAGCACAAATGTCAACTGCAGCATGAAATTCAAGAAATTTCCAGGCCAAGTACTAGAGGTAAGATTTTACACTTTACAGACAAGTGATTTCACACAGGAAAGGTATATCTGTAATATAAATATCAACCACAATTTCTTTCAGGAATAAACTCTAGAGAAGGTTTGTTGAGGGGGAGCATTAAAATTGGAAGCAATAATGAGAATAAAAATGGCGAGAAAAAAAATGACCAGAAACAAGCAGGGAATTACTGAAAGAAAGTGAAATGTACATGGGAGAGTCCTGGCAGGGCATTAAGAAAATGGAAACTAGTGCTTTCTCTTATTTAAGACACATGGAACCAGGCAGGATGGACTTCAGAGAACCTAGAGGGGAAGGTTCAGGACCACAGAGCCCAGAGGACCAGCAGCATCTGCCACATTCACAATGGCCAGGCCCTGTGCTCTCCTGACATTCCTGGTGGTGATGCACTTCTGGTCAAGCTGCTGTCTGGGATGTGACCTGCCTCAGACTCATCACCTCAGGAGCAAGAGATTCTCCACAATCCTGGCACAAATGAGGAGACTCTCCCCTCTCTCCTGCCTCAAGGACAGAATGGACTTTGCATTCCCTCTGGAGAAGGTGGATGCCCAGCAGATCCAGAAGGCCCAAGCCATCCCTGTCCTGCAGGAGCTGACCCAGCAGGTCCTAATCCTCTTCAGCTCAAAGGACTCATCTGCTGCTTGGGAGACAAGCCTCCTAGACACATTCTGCACTGACCTCCACCACCAGCTCAAAGACCTGCAAGCCTGTCTGATGGAGCAGGGTGGGGTGCAGGAACCTTCCCTGAGCCAGGAAGACTCCCTGGTGGCTGTGAGAAATTACTTCCACAGGATCACTCTCTACCTGAAGGAGAAGAAACACAGCCCCTGTGCCTGGGAAGTGGTCAGAGCAGAAGTCAGGAGAGCCCTGTCTTCCTCAGCCAAGCTGCTGGCAGGACTGACTGAGGAGAAGGAATAAGTCCTGAGCCAAAGTGGAGAGGACTCTCCTGGACTAGGATCCTGCACCTCACTGCTCAGATTTGGCCTTCTCCAAGAACTCTTTGACGTTGACATCAAACTTGCCTGGATAGTTATCCTAATATTGGGTTATATTGTGTTGATTTGTAAGGGCATTTTCTTATTGATTCATATGTTTTGTTTGTTTGTTGATTTATTTATTTGTTTTATTTATTTATTAGGTCTTCTGCTTGTTTGTCTATCTACATGATTTTAGTTATTTTTTATACCATAGAATTTTATATTTTCTTTAAATAACAAACCTTTATTGTTAATTTATTTCTTCTACTCTATAAAATTTTTACAATACATGCTTAATCTTATGTGTCATTCACATGATCTTTTGAAAACTGTTTGATGCTTCTAAACTCATTGTGTACATCATAAATATAATACACCTGAACGTGGTAGGAAATAATACTGAAGCAATGTGTACTGCTTAGACTTAAGAGGTGAGGTGATGCAGCCATCTTGTAGTTCCTTTCGCTGATGGTAAAACTCATACATCTCTCCATTAGATAGTACTCCTCTGGATGGATAGCCAACATGCTGTACAGAAGGAAACCAGAACATCTTGCTTGTGTTCCATTGTGCCTTAGTCCTCTTGAACTACAATTCTCCCTGAACTCTCTGGCCTCCCTTAATTAACATTTGACTCCCAGCTTCTATCAGATGAACTGGATTGGATTTCAAAGATGAGGGAGACCATAAAACCAAAATAAAATAAGTACAAAACAAATGAGGATCTTCCTACATACCATTAAAAAAGTGAGACATGAGAAAAGAAAAAAATGGAGTGTCAGCCCTGTCTTGGTGATGTCTTCAATTGCTGAGACAAAATATCATGACCTAAAGCATTTTGGGGTAGAAATATTTTATTATAGTTTAAAATCACAGCACATTCCATCACTTAGAGATTTTGCCAGGATCTTAAACAGGGCAGGAACCTGAAGGCAGTGGCTGATATAACGATCATGGAGGAACACACTTTCTCCTGCCCTGATGCCTCAGGGCCTGCTCAGCCTGCTTTCAAATACTCATCAGGACCACCTGCCCAGGGGATGGATCACCCATAGTGTACTGGACACTCCAATAGCAGTAATCAGTTATTAAAATGATTTAGAGACTGGTCTACAGTTTGATTCTGTAGAGACATCTTCCCTGGTGAGATCCCTTCTTCCCCACATAAACCTATCTGGTGACAGGTTTAACTTAGAATTATCCAGGGTAAATTCCCTTCATAATAGCCTCAAAAAACATACCCTGAAATAAATCTAACAAGGGGAGTGAATACAAATCTTCTAAAACACCCTAGCTCATCCCTCTCAATTTCATTTGGTATCTTTTCTTTATTTCAATTTTTGTCATTTCACATACTAAGCCCAGGTGTCCCTCCCTCCTCTTCTCTGGTCCTCACCTTACCAGCATCAACCCTGTCACCCAACAACTCCTCAGAGAAGAAAAGGCCTCCCTTGGGAGTCAACAATATGTGGCATACCAGGTTGAGCATAGCTCCCCACTTCTTCAAGGCTGAGCAAGGTGTCCCAGCATAGGATTTGGGATCCCCCAAGCCAGTTCTTGCACTTGGGACAAATCCTGGTCCCAATGCCAGGGGCCTCATGAACAGATCAAGCCACACATGTGTCAGCAGAATTCAGGGGGCCTAGTTGGGTTCCATGCAGGTCCCCCAGTAGTCAGTCCAGTGTCCCTGAGATCCCACTAGCTCAGGTCAGCTGTCTCTCTGGTTTTCCCCATCATGATCTTGACTCTCTTTCCCCTTTGCTTCTAGGATCCCACCTCCCTCCCTTCTACTGAACACCAGGAGCTCAGCCCAGTGCCTGGACTAGCAATCTCTTTGCTAACTGTTGCCAGTGGTCCATGGATACACCGCCATCTAGTGGACACGGGCAACCTCTCAGGGGCCCCATTACTGAGGATAACTCAATCTTCCTCTCCCTGCAGCCATAAGTTGAAAATAGTTCATCAGCTAGGGCTGGGATTTCCTGACATGCTCCCTGCTTGAAACTGGAATTTTATCTTTCTCTATCATACTCAGACTGTGCATGCAGTCACAGCTGCTATCAATATGGACCTGCAGCTACTATATGTTGTCTACAAATCCCTGTTTCCTACAGTCAGAAAGTGTCTCTGGGAATCCCCATCTTCCTGCCAGCTCTTGTGTAAAGTGTACTGCACTATGGATACCAGGAAAGCCATACTGATCTTTGCTCAGACACCTATTCCCTGTACATTGACCACTTGGAAGTGTCTGTGTCCAGTCATCTATTGCCATGAGAACCTCCTCTGAGGAGCACTGACAGATGCACTTATCCTCTGTGAGATGTGGGGGGTAATGTATAAAATCAGGCCTTTTGACACCATGGCCCTTGCTCTTATTCTTGACATTCCTGCTCTCTAGCAGCTTCCTGTTTCCACAGGTGTCTTAAGTTTGGTGTTGCTGGGAAGAAAATAATTGAAATTTTGAGTGTGATTGCATTGACTCTGCAGTTCAAGTTCCTAAGTGCACTCAGTTTGATGTAAAATAGCTTTATTTTATGGCCATTGAACTTTTAAGTTGAACACTCTTAACATTGTTGCTATTGCTTCCCCACTGGGATAACATCACTTCCATTGTTTTGCTTTCATTTCAAGTGACACCACAATTTCACTTCAATGCCACCAACAACTTCAGTATCTTCTCTCTAGAAAAGTGGAAAAAGGAAATAAAATATTTAATGCAATGAAAAATCAAAACAGAAATAACATCCACCATGGAGCCTCCATCCCTGTAGAAAAATTGAATGAAAAATTGTACACATTGCAGCACTGAAACACTTCTATGTGATGGAATCCCTCAAGGTTCTTCTGCTCAATTTTCTGATGAGCAAAGACAGAGTTTGTGCAGTATCCACTACTAAAGTATAACTCCATAAATATCTGTAGGTCCAAACTTCTGGGTAACTAATAGGCAATCAGAGGTACTGCTATCACTGTGTCTTCTGGTCTGTATTTCCACCTCCTAACTTGAGGCACAGCAGCAGTTAGTGAAAACTCCTGATCACAAAACTACATTTTTGGAAAAACCATAAATACTTATCTCTTACAAATGTAAACTGGGATATTTACACATCACTACAGATCACAGGGTCTTCTGCTGTTGACATCTGGGGATTCCTGACACTATGATCACTGCTGAACATAAAAGCCTTTCTAATGAATCCACTGAAATAAGAACAGCAGTCTTCTAGGTTTTATGACCACAAAAAACAAGCAAACACCACACTGTGTGTGAGTGCTGATGTCATCAAGGTATGGTGAGCACTCTCAAGGAGTGGGATACAAGAAGAGGGCCGAGGACATTCTGCCCTACTGTGCAGCAGAGAATGTGAGTCAACTCCAAAGCCACTGAAGAAGTCACAGGGCACTTAGAGAAAAGGCAGCAATCAGGGATCACAGCCTCTAATCTCAGACACAGCTAGAAAGAATGTGCATTCCATTTTGGGTAATTGTTGTTAGACAAAAAATCCTCGATAGGGGAATATTGGCCAGAAGGGAGATGTATCCATAGATCCTGACTTTGAAGGCACTGTGAAGCACAACCCCAAGGATGACAAAATTGGTCCATGACTGAGAGAAATTTCAGAGACGCTCTGTTAACAGTAGAAGTCACAATGGCTATACCATAGAGAAGCCCGGAATGGTCTTCATTCAGACGAATGGTCTCCTGGAACACTAAACAGTTCACGAAACCTACAGGCCAAGACGGCATCCCTTTCCATCTTAAGGTCAGAGGTCACCAAATTGGTAAATAACGCTGAAACTTCCTTGGAGCAAAGCATAGATGATATATTTTATGAGTTTTTGTGAACATGTGTGTGTGTGTGCAGCAAAGATGTGGAGTGAGAGAACAACTTCCATGAATAAGATTTCTGCTCCCACCATGAGTTCCAGGGATGAACATTAATATGTCAGTCTTGATTGAGAAGCTCTTGGTGATTGTGCCATAATAACCACCAAATGATCATTCAATAAATACCTAATATACAATGCAAACCAAATTTGATCCTTCATATACTTAAGAACTCATGTATATTAGGACAACTAGAATAAAATGACTTCTGAAGTCATTCTTGAAGCCCTCTGTCATGGAGTAAGTACAAGAGGGAGGGCTGAGGATGAGATTTCACTGTGCTGCAGAGAGTTGTAATGAACTTGAGAGGTACTGAGTAAGTCCCATGTTATTAGAAGTAACACCATCCTGGGGTCAGGCTCTGCACACACATACACACCAAGGAGGAACCAGCACTGCAGGTCTGGGTGATTGTCACAAGTTGAAGAACACTGTAGACCTCAGTGCAATGGGGTAAGCAAAAGGGAGGTGTCAACACTGATCCTGACTCTGAGGGATCAGGGAAGCACAGCCATGTGGGTCTTGAGAGGGAGAACTTATTCCTGAGACGAGAAATGTCAGAGAACCCATTCGTAATGAGTCACCTGTGGAAATAAAGAGGAAAAGCATCATCTGGTTCTCCATTCTGAAGAGACTGTGCTATGAAGGCTCTGACCAATCACTACTCAGTTATGGAAGACCAAGGGGCCATGGAGTATCTCTTTCCACTTAAAATAAGCAAGAAAACTGAGGCCTAAATCTTGTACCTCTAAGATAAATACCTACATATTGAATGAAATAAATTATTCTCTGTATGTGCTGTGCACATACGTATGTGTGCATGTTTGTACTCACAGGTAAAATATTGTGTTCTTGAAATGGAGGACTGATGAACTTTCAGACAAAGGAAAATGCTAAAGAACTTTGCTATCAGTAGACCATCCTTTTGAACATGCTTGACACATTCCTACCTTTCTTTCGCCTTCCTAAACATTTGAAATTCACGTTCGTCGTGTTATCCATGTGCATCCACAGGAATGACAGAAAGACAGACTTCCTATGTAAAGATTCCAAGACAGACATCAGAAGGCCATGAAGACTGAGGGGAGGAAAGGGCACTAGGAATTTTCTGCACTGCTGTGGGATGTTAATGTATGTCCTGTGGGAGCCCTTCTTGGGTTCCTTGTGGCGTTACCCAGCAGGTTTGCATAGAGGATGATTAGGACCATGGGCCTGAGTGCAGGTGTCTGAGATGGTCTGCACTTGGCTGTATTGGGGGATGGTCTGTATGTCAAGTTGCTCTGATTGGTCAATAAATAAAACCTGATCGGTCGTGGCTAGGCAGGAGGTATGGGCAGGACTAACAGAGAGGAGAGATAAAAGAGCAGGAAGGCAGAAGGAGACGCGGCCAGCCAGCTGCCAGCCACCGCCAGGACAAGCAGCATGTGAAGATGCTGGTGAGCCACGAGCCGCGTGGCAAGGTATAGATTTGTAGAAATGCGTTACTTTAAGATATAAGAACAGTTAACAAGAAGCCTGCCACGGCCATACAGTTTGTAAGCAATATAAGTCTCTGTGTTTGCTTGGTTGGGTCTGAGCGGCTGTGGGACTGGCGGGTGACAGAGATTTGTCCTGACTGTGGGCAAGGCAGGAAAACTCAAGCTACACTGCACCGCCAGGGAAACCATCACCAGGGTCAGTAGACACAGAGATGAGGGGACAGGTTTCCAAAGAAATTATCCGCAGCTGAGAAGCAAATGTTGCAGGTAGATGCAGTTTGGAGGTGAGGGGAATAGTGACTCTAATGTTCTCCTACACAGAAGGGCTTTTTACATAACATAAAACAAATATAAGATTATTTGTTGTGGATATTTAAATTAATTAATTTATTATTTATTTATTATTTACAGAAGTAAGACAAAGACTTTGAAGTTAAATACACACAGAAATGACCCTGCAGATCCCTAGCTGCTGTAGGAGACATTGAGGAGCTGGAACTGCTTTTCTTATGATTTGACACAAACATTGTTTATAGGGACTCAACAATACTACAGTGTCCTGTGCATGAAGATAAACATCACATGATGATTAAAATGATTATAAATTTGGTGTGATTGTAACAGTACTCATGGCATACATTTGAGAACCTAAGCCTTTGAAATCGAGTGTTCAGACACTTCACCTGTATGTGTGGTTTGGATATGGAGCGTCTCTCGAGGTTTCCTGTGCTGGAGGCTGGTACTCATGGGAGCAGTGTTCACAGGGAACATGAACCTTCATCATCCTCAAGGAGCAAACTGTATCAGTGAAAGCCTGCTGATTGTTGGAGATGAGTGGACTACCAGGTAGTGAGGCTTTGCTGGAAGAAGGTTGGGGCTCCATCTAAGGACACACTTCGTCCCTGTCTGCATCTTGGAAACCATGAAGTGAGTGACTTGTGAGTCCCATTGTCTTCCTACTATGCAGTGGACCCAAAAATCCATGCAGTTCAAACTTGTGAGACAAAATAAGTGAAAATTAACCTTTGACATTTTTAATAGCTCCTCACTCTTGTGTATACATGTGAGTGTGTGTCTATGAATGGATTTGTGTGTGACTATACATGTATATCTGTCTGAGTGTGTGTTCATGTGTGTCTGTGTGTGTGTATGTGTGTTTGTGTATATATGTGAGAAAGTGTGTATGCTAATGTTTGTAAGGATATGCATGTGTGATTCTGTGTGTAAGTTTGTGTGTGTTGTATATATATGTGGAATATGGGATTGTGCATATGTGTGTGTTAGTGCAAATGTGTGTATGTGTGGAAATTTGTGTGTGTGAGTGTTTATGTTTGAATGATGGTATGTATTTGTATGTGTTGGAATGTGTACATTGGTGTGTGCTTGTGTGTTTTCATGTATAGCTGTGTGTATATGTGTTGAAAATCTGTATTAAGTGTGAGAATATGTGTATGTGTGTGTCTGTGGGCATGTGTGTGTGAGTCTGTTTATGTGTGC